TGCTTTGTATGAATGAGAAGATTTGGGAAAGTCAGAATCAAGAAGTAAGTTGATAGAAAGTTATCTTGAATTAGAATTAGAATTAGAAAAATGCAACCTGAGAAGGAGGTTATGTTTAAGTTGCGTTTAAGTTTATATTTTGAGCTCAAATGAATGAACATTGAACACTTTATAAATAGCTTTATTAACAACAAAAGAAATTAAAGAAAAAACAAGAACAAGAACACTTTAATAATCGATAGCAAGCACATCACAAAGATGACGATAGTTGGTGACCGACTTCCCGGAAATCGTTGAACAGCTGATCGGGGATGAGCTGCTTTAGACTGCTTGAACTGCTTGAATAAGTGATAGACTGATGGGGCCAAGTCAGGGCTGTATGGAGCGTGAGGTAGAAGTCTCCAGCCCATCTCTTCGATTTGTTGGAGGATCATCTTTGCCGTGTGCGGTTTTCCATTATCGAATTTTTGAAGTGTCATGTCGAGATTTCGATAAAGCTTGATTCACACGCTCTAACTGCTCACTGTAAAGTTCAGATGTGACAGTTTTACCCGGTTTGAGCAGTTCAAAATAAAATAATCCACGATAGTTCCACCATATGCACAACATCAACTTCTTTCCATGCAGACCAGGTTTTGACGTGACAACCGGGACTTGCTTTGGTGATGGCCATTGGTGCTTGCGCTTAACGTTATCCTATATGATTTTATAAGTTGGTTTCTATTTGGTTTCCATGGTTCATATTTGGTTCCTATTTGATTCCTATTTGGTTCCTATTTGGTTCCTACTTGGTTCCCATGGTTCATATTTGGTTCCTATTTGGTTTCTATTTGGTTCCTATTTGGTTCCTACTTGGTTCCCATGGTTCATATTTGGTTCCTATTTGGTTTCTATTTGGTTCCTATTTGGTTCCTATTTGGTTTCTATTTGGTTCCTATTTGGTTCCTATTTGATTCCTATTTGGTTTCTATTTGGTTTCTATTTTGTTCCTATTTGGTTTCTATTTGGTTTCTATTTGGTTCCTATTTGGTTTCTATTTGGTTGCTATTTGGTTCCTATTTTGATTCCTATTTCGTTCCTATTTAGTTCCTATTTAGTTCCTATTTAGTTTCTATTTGATTCCTATTTGGTTCCTATTTCGTTCTCATAGTTCATATTTGGTTCTTATTTGGTTCCCATAGTTCCTATGTGGTTCCTATTTAGTTCCTATTTCGTTTCCTATTTCGTTCCCGTAGTTCATATTTGGTTTCTATTTGATTCCTATTTCTTTCCTTATAACTGAAAAAGTCGATCATCCATTGACAGATCATCAAGCAGCGTTTGGTTAACAAGCCTCGATCATGACCTTTTTGAGCTCAGAAGTGTCCTTGTATTGATTGTTTTCATAAATTTTCTTCACCATAAAACTCTAGACGTTTTCTATGGGGTACATGCAGGCCAAGCAAGCAGCGGAATTCTTTTTGGCTACAGGAGGCCAAGCGATCAGCAAGATTCTTTTCCTTGGCCTGTGTACGACGAATCTTTCTGAATCAGAGTTCCATCGTGCATAAAAACGAGATTTTTCTGCCGATTTCGACCAGAAAGGTCAAATTCCTCGGCTCAAAACGACCCGGTAGTCTAATCCATTCATTTTCTTTGAAACAAATCACAACTTGACTCTTCTTATTGATGCAATGGCTGCCGACACCATAATCCCTTCTCCTTTGAGGTTGCGATGTGAATAGCGGAGTTTTTCCTTACGAATATTCCTCAATATAATCAGAAAACATCCGGGCAGCTAAATTTCATTGCAGCTAAATTTCTTTTCATCAGAAAAAGACAACCTGAAAAGAAAAGAAATCTTAGATATCTTAGATATCTAATCAAGAAAAAGTCTTACCGTTTTCCAATCGATTTTGGAGTTTTTCTTGGCAAAATCAGCACGAATAGTGTTGATTTTGCGTTCCAGTGTTGATCATAGTGTTGATTTTACCCTTCCAATTGTGTCACTTTTCTCATTTTTCGCCATTTAATAAACTTTTTCTTTGAAATAAGGGGTCTAATTGTTTCTAGAGACATAAGCAGCTTTAAATCGGCCTTGATCTTGGTCCAGGTTATCATGTTGGTTCGGGTTATCATGTTGTTTGAAGCTTCAGGATTCATTGCTTTCGCCGCGAGAAAAGCAAATGATTATTCGCTTTTCTCGCGGAGAAAGCAATGAATCCTGAAGCATACTTCAGCTTAAACTTCAGCTTAAACTTAAAAGCTTAAACACTTAAAAACAATAATATGATCTTCTTTATAACCTCTTAAAAAGCCCACTGTTTGAATCTTAATGTTGAATGTTAAACTTCCAGATAAAATCCGAGGCTCGAACCCTGGCAATTCACCTGGATCAGCCTGATTTGGGGGTGTCCCTGTGGGGTTTCGCCACTCTATCGAAATCCTCTATATTGACGGTAAAACTTGAAACTTAATAAAATGTACTGGCGTTTTCAAATTCAGACTTTTTCTGTGATGTTGACCTTCTGGGCCCTACTAGCCGAGTTTCACCGGAGCCACAAAAATGAAAATTGTCTCAATGGGAATTCGTTGTTCAATCGATTAACGAAGTTTAAATAAATATATGTTGTGTTCGATTTAGATTCAATCTAAATCTTATATAGATTGAACAATAAATCTTATATAGATTGAACAATAATATAAACATGCTTAATATATGTTCTTAAGCGTTTTCTCTAGTTTTCTCTAGTTTTCTGCATTTTTCAAAGGTCTGTTACTGTCTTTTTCTGAAAAGAAAACCCAACTATGAAACAATTTATTAGCGTTAACAGAATAGATGCGAAATTACAGCATACAACAACAAAAAAACCAACAACAACAACGAACGAGTTAAAAATTTCTATTTATTTTTGCAGCTTAGGCTATTGTGACATCTTGAATTGCAGAGTCGGCCGTCCTTTTTGCACGAACATCGATTGGATGAGCACTTTCCAGCACATAAGCAATGTTTATGGTCTAATGGAACACGCAAAAAATGAAATAAAGTTATAGTTACTTACCCTGTTTCCCGTGAATAGAAGAATCACCGATGGCGGCACGAAAGGAAGTTCAACGTTCCGGCACATCAGCACATAGCAATTCCTTGCTATGTGCTGATGTCCGTCTCACAAGGATAGAGTTGATTTCTTGAAAACTTCTAGCATGTTTATATTATTTTTCAATCTATTAGGTTGGTGCAAAAGAAATTTCGGTCGATATAAAATGTTCTTATTTTTTTAATCTGAAGAGCTTATTTGATGTTCTTTTGTGCATTTGTACTCTTGGATATTTACTTTATTTTCGCATTTTTCAAAGTCAGAGCTTTCACTTTTTAATTGATTTTTGCTTTAGATCATGGTGGATCAAAAGTATATTCTGCGCACGTGTCTTCTCTATGACTTCAAAATGGGCAAAAACGCTGCTGATTCACATCGTGATCTCTGTTCCGCCTTTGGAGAACAGGTTATCACCGAAAGATCATGCCAGCTCAGGTTTGCCCAATTCCGAGATGGTAATGAATCCCTTGAAGACGAATCGCATGGACATCGTGCCACAGCCATCGACAACAATGAATTGGAACAATTAATTGAAGCTGATCCAATGCAAACAACACGAGAACTTGCCAAACATCTCCAATTCAACAATTGTACGCCATTTGGAAATAATTGGAAAGACAAATCGTAATGGACAATGGGTTCCACATCAATTGAGTGTTGAGAATCTGGGAGCACGCGTTCCGATCAGCCATATCTTGCTCCAGAAGTCGAAAAGAAGCCATTTTTTTTGAGAATATCTTGACGATGGATGAGAAGTGGATTCACTTTGATAATACTTCTCGAAAAAGACAATGGCTGAGCAAAGGTCAAGCGCCAATTCCAACTCCAAAGCCGGATTATCATGGGCGCAAAGTGATGTTGTCTTGCTGGTGGAATATCAATGGACTTGTTCATTTTGAATTATTAGAGCCCGGAAAAACAGTCGATTCATCTTAGTTTATTCAACAACTCAAGAAGGTTGACGGAATTTTGCGTGAAAAAGGCCTAAATCCCTCAACTATCAACTTTCTCCGTGATAATGCTCCAGCTCACACGGCAAAAACCTCTTGTAAGGAACTAGAGAAGCTAGGATGGAAGGTCTTACCACATGCGCCGTATAGTCCAGACTTAGCACCCTCCGATTTTCACCTTTTCAGATCGATGCAACATTCCCTTGAGAATTGCCAGTTTAAGAATGCAAGAGAAGTCGAAAATTGGGTGACCAACTACTTTGCATCACAGAATCAAGCGTTCTTTGAGAAGGGGGTCCGCAATCTGTAGCAACGTTGGAGGGATGTCATAGATAATAATGGTGCTTATTGTTTTAAATAAATTGTTATCAAAAAAAATTTTGGATGACTTTAATGTTTGTAAAAAAACGAAATTTCATTTGCACCAACCTAGTATATAAGACGTATTATTGTTCAATCTATATAAGATGTTCAATCTATATAAGATTTAGATTGAATCTAAATCGAACGTCCGATATAGACTGTAATCTAAATCAAACGTCCGCGATAAGTTCAATCTAAATCGGACGTCCGATTTAGATTGAATCTACATCGGAATTTTCTTCTACAAACAATTTACAACTTTATTTTCTTATTTTGTTTTGGCTTTGTTCGTTCCACGGATGTGGACGGTTAAATTCAATTTTTCAAATCAAATCAAAACTAAAACTTTCTCAATTAACAATTAACATTAAAATTATCATTAACAATTAACAATTTATAAATTTTATATAAAATTTTGTTAAACTATAAACTATAAAACTATAAATTCCCGAAAACTCAACGCGAAAAGGCACAAGTGCCATTTTTTTGTTTGAAGTGGGACCTATTATTTAGAGTTAGAGGCAATAAAAGCTCAAATTTCCATCAATATCATCAAAATGCTACAGATTAACAAATTCTAAACTTATATTGATTATTTTAAAGCTCTAGAATGAATCTGAAACGTCAGGCTTCTTATGTGAGTTTACAAGAAGTAGTCGGCTGCAGCGCGCTGGCTGGTTACGCGTTTCAATTTTTAAAAATCTTTTAAAGGGGGTATTAATCGCGGACGGGTGACCATAAAAAATTTTTTACAAAAAATAGAAGACCCTTTTGAAGGGAGGTTGAAAAGTAGAAAACCAATCTCCAATAGAAGACCCAAACTCTTAAAATGCACTATTTTGCTATCGTATCCCGCTAGTACCCACATTTTCTTGCAAAAATTCGGCAGTCATTTCATTCTGCAGTCATTATTTCTTTACTACTAGTAATCTTTCAATTCTTGTTTCTTGTTTCTTGTTTTTAAAATAAGTTAATATAAGTTCAAAGTCTGATAAGATTTCAGCACGAGGCCCTCGACTGGGATTTGATCTTCGATGATCACGAGAAAAATGACGGTGACGAGAAGTTGCCCTTTCATTCGGCGGTGCTCCAGCAACGAATGAAACAGTTCTTTTTGGTGAGTTTTGATTGTAGTTTTGTTTAAGTTTTGTTTAAGTTTTGTTTAAGTTTTGTTTAAGTTTTACTATTTCAAGTGATTTCAGGTTTCTCGTTTCTTCTGCGCCCGCTTCAAGCCAAGCGATCCGCCATGGACGCGTATCAAGAATCAGCTGATGATGGGAGTTATTCTTGGTGGATGTGAGTTAGAAAAGTCAAGTAAAAGTACCCAACGCATCAAACAGAACTTCTTTTTCAGGCATTCTCTTCCTCTTCTTCGATTCCTTTGTCACATTCAGTCATGGCTTGGATCGAGCGCCGACTGGGGTCGTTTTCATCTCCTTCAACATGCAAGCCACGTTTTCTGGGGTTAACTTACTAATGGAAGATGCAGAAACAAGAAAACAACAATTTCAGTTCTGTTTGATCTATTGGCAGAAGCGGAAACAGCTGAAGAGTTTGTTCAATCTCTTTGTCAAAGCCGACTCAGGAAACGAGCGATTTAAGAAGGTTTGGCTTTGTCGGTGTACTGTTTTAGCTATTTTAACTAGCTAGGCATATTAATGGGCCTTCAAATTTTGAATCCCAACAAAATACTCTTGCTAGCAGACGAGAAACATTCATTCCAGGAGATCCTCTCGGCCCATCGTAGAGTTTTCATTCGTTTCTGTGTCATGTTGGGCATTTTGTTCTGGATGATCGCCCAGTTTGTTGTCGGAGCGATTTTCGATTGGCGACCGCATATGGCAAACGAGGAGAAGGTAGATTTAGGAGGAAATACTAGAAAAATGATCAAATCCAAGTACTCTGTTGACTTTTAAGCTTTTGATATACTTTTGATATACTTTTGACATACTTAGCGTTAAGGTTTACTACTGAATTTAAGTGTGATTTAAAATTTTACAATTTTAATAGGACCATCGCACTTTCAAATAAAAAAATTTCGTCCTCTGAAGTAATCCGCAGTTTCTTTTGCAATAGATTTTCCAGCATTTCGTCGAAGGCAGTCAAATCTTTGTCCGCTCATTCTTCTGCTCGATAGCTTTTGCTCTTCACTATATCGTCATGCATTTGTATGTGATGCTGGCAACGGGAGTTTTTTGGGAGATGAAAGCGTTCAATTGGATGTTGGCTAAAGTGAGTCAATGGCTTGAAATTTGATCTTCTCTTTTCATTTTCACCTTTTGTTTGTTGCGCTAATATATAAGGTCCTTGCAAAAGAAACTGCGGATTATAACCAACATTTGAACAACCCAATTCATGTGGGACCCATTGGTCACAACGATTCCTTTTTCCAATAAGCGCAAGGTGTCGAGAAATTGTGCTCGAATCACATTTAAAGTATTCGGCTAATTCGGGCAAAGTTTGAGTTGGATCCAACTTGACAATCTCCAGCAACTCCGCATTATCGAAGACAACTGGACAACTGGACAATATCCATGAGGCTCATCTTCCAAGCTGCCATCTCCTTCACGAAAACGTCGAAACCATTCCTGGCAAGTTCTTTCACTCAAAATGTTTTCTCCGAATGTTTCACAAAGATTCCGGTGCGACTTCGATGCTAATTCCTTCATTTTGAAGTCATAGAGAAGGCACGCTCGCAACATGAGTTTTTGATTCGCCATCTTCTACCCAAGATTATGTAATATTTAATGATAGCAATAGTTGTGAAAATAATTAAAATGAATAAGCAATAGTAATACAATATAATACAATTTAAACCGGACCATCACACTTTCAAATAAAAAGACTTTGGTCCTCGGAAGTAATCCGCAGTTTCTTTTGCAAGTCCCTAATAGTAAATTAGTGTGCAGAAAAGTTAGTACAAAGTATACTCGAAAAGTTTTCAGCTTTCCGATGAGAAGCACGACTTTAAAGTTTCATTAAAGGAAGTGATTCTAAAACATGCTCGTTTGACAAAAACGATCGTTCAACTGAATCGGATCTTTTCGGTGAGTGGTTGCGAATAAAATAAACAGATGGTGACCTCAAAATAACATTAACACACAAAGTTACTTACATACAAAGTTTTATATTAGGTTGTCTAGTTATAGGTGTTTCTAGTTATAAATGTGCGTTTTTAAGATAACTCTTGATTTTAAAAGCAACAATTTAACAGCTCAATAACTTTAACAACAATGTTAACAACTTTATGTTCATCATTAGTGAACAAAATTTGTTTCCATCTTCCATACAAAGAATGAATTCCCTTAGCTTGTTGGCTTGTTGACTTGTTGGCTTGTTTGGCTTGTTTGGCTTGTTGGCTTGTTTGGCTTGTTGGCTTGTTGGCTTGTTGGCTTGTTGGCTTGTTGGCTTGTTTTAAGGCAAAGAAAGCTATTCATTTTTCGACCTCTTAAACATCTTTGAACTTGTTTCTAGCTAAACGTTTTTGCATTGAGCGAAATAAATGGTAATTCGAAGGATTCTTCTTTGTTTTCTCAATTCTTCCCGTGGAGAAACATTCAAAGAATATAGCGGATGCAGGAGAGATTCCCAGCCCAACTCTTCGAGTTAATCCTGAACAATCTTTGCAACTTGTGAATGAGCGATGATGCATTATCTTGAATGAACTTTATGTTTCAAGGATCAAGGTTTTTTTGTAGCAATACCTTTTTGTAGCTTTTTGTGATTCACTCGTTCAAGTTGTTCAAGTTTTACCCGTGATTGTATGTCCAGGTTTAAGCAGCTCAAAACAAACAATGCCTTGGGAATTCCACCAGACAGTAAGGATGACTTTCTTGCCGTGAAAGTCGGGCTTTGGTGTTAGTATTGGCTCTTCACCAGATTCTAGCCATATCAACACGTTGCCGTTGCCGTTGCCGTTGCCGTTGCCGTTGCCGTTGCCGTTGCCGTTGCCTCTGCCGTTGCCTCTGCCGTTGCCTCTGCCGTTGCCTCTGCCGTTGCCTCTGCCGTTGCCTCTGCCGTTGCCTCTGCCGTTGCCTCTGCCGTTGCCTCTGCCGTTGCCGTTTTCGTGTAGAATTATCATATTGAATCCATTTTTCATCGCAAGTAAGGATCTCATCGTAAAATCCAGTATTTTTTTGCCAAACAAAGAAAATACTGGATTCGGTTCGGAAAGCCAGTGTCGCCGATGGTTTCAACGATTTCGAGAAGGAAATGAATCTTTGGAAGATGAGGACCAGCAACGACAATCGTTGCGTCGTTGCGAGCCAGCGAGCCAGCCAGCCATCGTCATATCCACTAACGACAGCCATAGTGAACGAGTAGCTTTATTGACATTACTGAAGATGAGGAGCCCATTTCCCTTGTCGGCTTATTTTCCCCAATTGATATAAATGCTCAAAAATTGTTTGAGGGCTTGCTTCAAATCTTTCTCCAAATACAAGTTCACGTGTAGTTTGTCGAAAGTCAATTTCGATCACCTGCTTCAGTACTGCATTATCGATTGCAGGAGGATGTCGTTAGTGGATATGATGACGGCTCGCTGGCTTGCTGGCTCGCAACGACGCAACGATTGTCGTTGCTGGTCCTGATCTTCCAAAGATTCATTTCCTTCTCGAAATCGTTGAAACCATCGGCGACACTGGCTTTCCGAACTGACGACACTGGCTAGCATCTTCCCCAAATATTTTTCAGAGATCTCGAGGAGATTCAGCAGCGTTTTTGCCCAATTTGAAGTTATACCAAAGGCACGGAGATTAAACTTTGTGTCTCCAAAGGCACGGAGACTAAACTTTATGTCTCCAAAGGCACGGAGACTAAACTTTGTGTCTCCAAAGGCACGGAGACTAAACTTTATGTCTCCAAAGGCACGGAGACTAAACTTTGTGTCTCCAAAGGCACGGAGACATCTAAACACAGAAATTAAATCAAAATTAATTGATTTTGTCAAAAACACGAAAGAATTGTAATAAATAAGGAAATCTGCGCAGCATATAGAGGATTAGGCTTGATAAAATTGTATAGCTCTGAGGTATGCTGTTCAAGAGCAGGCGCGCATTCATAACTGGACAACCTAATACATCCAGCGTCAGGATCAGAATCTGAGTCAAAACCAGAGTCACGAGGAAAAGATTTCAGTGTATTTTCAAATCTGTGAAAACATTTTTTTAAAAATTGCTAAAAAATAAGAATTGTTAGTAGATTTTGGATTTATTTTATTTGTTAGTAACGAACTTTTTCCATCAGAGAGCGAAGCTAGTACCCCAGAGCGAAGGTAGTACCCCAGAAAGATATGTTTTTAAGGTTAAGTACAAATAAATCCACTCCTCTTACAGATCTACGCTTTCTACATGGTTTCCACAACAGTGCCAACATTTCTTTTCTCTTTGATCACCATCGCTAGAAGAGCCACACTGTTTGAGGCATTTCTGACGGTTCCGTCGCTGATTTTTTGCACTTATGGATACTATTCGTGGACGGTTGTGCCGGCTAAATTGCATGAAGAGGTTTGGAAAGGAGAGTCACTACTCTTTAATGATCATCTAAATGAACGGTTTTTCTGAAACCTCTTCAATGGGCTGAAGAACCACGGTAGACAATGCGAAAATGCGTTTTCTATCGGATTTTCTAGGAGTACCTTTTTAGATGCGAAAAATTGTGCTGATTCCGAATCTGAAGGAATTTTTCAAATTCCTTAATTGTTTTGAGTGAATACGATACATAGCTACATTGTTCTTTTGAACAAAACAATTGTGCAATAGAGAATTTTTTAGATTTTCTCATTTCTTTTTTAAAAAATGTTATAACTTTTTGTAGAGTTGAGCAAATTTGATGATTTTTGCATCAAAATGTTCGTAAGAGTCTCTAGAATAAAACTTGTCCCTTCGTTTTTGGTTCTAGACCCTTGTTGTCGAGTTACGAGCTCCAAACTGCAGAGTACCACAAAAATTCCCATACAAAATGACCAAAAAACCGCTACAACTAAATTTAAAAAATTTCTGTCAGAGGGATTTGAAAAATTCCTTCAGATTCGGAATCAGCACAATTTTCCGCATCTAAAAAAGGTACTCTCAGAAAAATCCGATAGAAAACGCATTTTTGCCTTATTTCGCGCCGATGTGCGATAGGTTAACTGTTCAGTCAATCGGTTCAGATTTACAAATCGAAATCGTTGCTCTGCATGAACGAGAAGATCTGGGAGAGCGAGGATCGAGAGGTGAATGAGAGATGAGGAGGTTTTTTGCTTGCACTTAATTCCAGAGAGCCCAAAGCCCAGACAAACATACTTAACAACCTCGTGATAAAGCATTTATCATAACAGGGTGTAAAGAAGATAATGCGCGTTTTTTGATCAAAACTATTTATTGAAAAAAACTCAAACACGCCCACCAGTTTTGTAACGATCCGGAAATGAACTTTGCTTCCGTTGTTTCCATTCAATTCCCCAAACCATATTTAATTAGTTTTGGCCTTTATTATGGAGCTTTTCATAGCTGGACGGATATAGAAATGATAGAAAAGTAGAAAAGTCAAGATTCTGTCGGAAAAATCGTGTGATTTGCAGTTGCAGTTGCAGTTTGCAGCAAGATAGAGCACGGGCTGTCCACGATGAGCCACTGGCCGTCTCCCACTTGCCACTAGCCACTTGAAACCATTGACAACGCTGACTTTCACTGAAATAATCATCTCCAAAAGCTTTGGAGATGATTGGCAAGATGGATTTTTCCTTGTAGAGCATGAACTTGTTGTCATCATTTTTTTTTTGCAGTAAAAACTAGCGAAGAAGGGAAATGATTATAAATCTAATAAGTGTTTAGTTTATTTTTGTTTAAAACATTACATAAGCAAACGCTTGGCAATTGCCAACGCTGGGAAATTCAAAGCGCGCATTATTTTCTCTATACCCTGATAGAAATTGATTGACAAGGGTACTTGTGTGACTTTAGAAGTGTGAAACTAGTGGCACCAATAGTAGACTTGTCAATCGATTTCTATGATAATTCCTTTACGTAATTTTGCTAGCTTTTGAAATTCTATGTTCCTTCAAAGGCAATTCTCTGATCCTTCAAAGACAAAATTCAATTTCCAGGTAATGGCAATTGCCAGGACCCTCGCTATACATTTGGATCAGCCCGACTTGGGGATCTCTCTCTGGGGCTTCACCATGGTCTCAAAACCGTTGATTTTGACGGTACTATAGCTTTTGACGGTACTATAGCTTATACAATTGCTACAGTTTTTGATTGCATTCTTAAATAACAGCACCAAGCGGCTATCCTTTATGGATTACAAAGGCTTTGACAACAAATGAATCAAAACATGAGCAAGCAAGAGTAAGCAAGAGGAAGCAAGAGTAAGCAAGAGGAAGCAAGAGGAAGCAAGAGGAAGCAAGAGAAAGCAAGAGAAAGCAAGAGGAAGCAAGAGGAAGCAAGAGGAAGCAAGAGAAAGCAAGAGAAAGCAAGGGGAAGCAAGAGGAAGCAAGAGAAAGCAAGAGAAAGCAAGGGGAAGCAAGAGGAAGCAAGAGAAAGCAAGAGAAAGCAAGGGGAAGCAAGAGGAAGCAAGAGGAAGTAAGAGGAAGCAAGAGCAAGCAAGCATGAGCCTCAGAGCAAGTCAAGTTCTACTGATTTGAGGATTAGATGCTATTTAATGCTTATTAGATGCTATAATTTGGACTTATTAAAGCGTAAAGAGATATAAAAATAGAATAACATGACAGTCAATTAAAAGAAACACGGAAAATGATATTTCTATTTAAAATTCCAGACCCTCTCCGTGTTGCTCACTTTCTGGGCTTTCCTAATCGAATTCAACAAGCGGCCAAGTGATCGGGACAAGGATTGCAGTACATAAAAATGGATTTAAATCAAATCAAATCAAATCAATATTCAAACGATAAAGTGAAAGAAATCATAGAGAAATGCACAGTGATACTTAATCATACAATACATACTGAAATCAATAAGCCAATTACTTACGGCAAAGAGCCACTAGATCTAAAGCATCGATACGTTTCTTGAATATGAAAAGCGACTGAATTTCTCGTATGTCGTTTGGGAGCAAGTTCCATAATCTAGCGGCTCTAACGGGAAATGAATTTGATAAAGAGGCATTGGAAGAAAAGGGAATTTGCAAAAGGAATGAGCCACTTCTGGGCCCTGACCGCGGTTTAAATTTGAAAAAGTCAAATCAAATCAAATCAAATCAAATCAAATAAACGTTTTTGAAAAAGAAAATTTACAATCTAAAGGCTCTAGGGAATAAATTTTAATGCTCGAGCAAATATATGCTCTTTTTAATCATCAGCATCTTGTGTTTATTTTTATATAATATTTTATTCATTTGCTGAATTTCGTTTTATAATAGATATGTTGTTTTGCAGATGAAAGACAAAAAGTTTGTTGTCCGCGCATCAATGCTGTATGATTTCAAACGAGGTAAAACTGCAGCGGATTGCCATCGAACTATCTGTGCGGCATTTGGAGAGGATTCAATTTCAATCAACCAGTGCCAGCGCTGGTTTAAACGATTTGCGGACGGAAACGAGTCGTTAGAGGACGAGGAACGCGCTGGAAGGCCAGTCGTTTTTGATAACGAAGCTTTGCTTAACACCATTGAGTCTGATCCAACTCAAACTACTCGTGTGTTGACCGAATTATTTGGTTGTTCCAAATCAACAATCGACAATCATCTCCATGAGATTGGAAAATTTAATCGATGCGGAAAGTGGCTTCCCCACAAATTGAGTGAAGCGAATAAAGCTGCTTGAGATTGAGATTGAGAAGATTGAGAAGCTTGGATGGTCGACTGTCCCACATCCGCCGTATAGTCCAGACCTGGCTCCATCTGATTTCCATTTGTTCCGTTCGATGGCGCACGCTCTTGGAGAACACAAGTTCAAAAGTGTTGACGAGGTGCAAAAATGGCTCGACGATTTCTTCTCATCGAAACCAGCTTCATTCTATTATGACGGACTTCACTCTTTGCTCGGACGATGGAGAAATGTTGTTGATTGTTGTGGAGAATATATCGATTAATAAAGTTCTCTTTGTTAATTTTGTGATATTTTGAAAATCGTGTCAAAACACGCATTACTTATTGGACAACCTAATATTAAGTTAAACAAAACTAAAAAAAGAAATAGTCGAAAACACAAATATATCGAAAAAAGAAATATGTCGAAAGTGAAAGTCCATTATTTTCACAAGAGTGAATGTTCAGTGTTAACCAAAGAATTTATTTGACCATGTGGAGCTCACTCTATTCCTATTTTACATCTTTTCTTTGATTTAATGAATTTGTGGCGAATAGCCACTAAAAAATTACCTAACTCTGACAGGCTAAAAATTGAAAAAGTATTGCGGAAATCCGTGCGCCTTCATTCTGGCCCCAAATCATTTATTGTTTTGTAGCTTGTTAGCTCTTGTTAAAGCTTGTTTTGTAGCTTGTTAGCTGAATATCTTTTGTTAAAGCCTATATGAACAAGAGTGCCTTAACTGAGTTGCCTTAACTGAGTTGCCTTAACTGAGTTGCCTTAACTGAGTTGCCTTAACTGAGTTGCCTTAACTGTTGTTCATTTGATTTTTGTTTACTTTTTCTGTTTTCCTTTCATAGCCTTCATAAAGTTCATAGCCTCCCTGGATAGACTACAGAACCCTTTAACGAAACCCACGATTTGTTCATTGTGATATCTCCTTGTGTGCCTTGATCTGTTCACTCCACTTCTCGCCCTTCTCCGATCTCGTTGTTCTTTTGTTTTCTCGGTTCATTCTTGCACCTAGAAGTTCGTTTAGATGATCTTGTAGCTGGGGCGGAGTCTTGGCTTTGTTCCTAGACAATCATTTGGTTCTTGTCTTGACAATTCTTGTCAAGACAAGAACTGTCTTGACAAGAATTGACCTTGGCCTAGATCTATCTCATTGCCAGGGTCAATGCCTAGTGAGACAGGAATGTTGATTTAGTCTAAACTAGGCCTATATGAACAAGAGTTGCTTTTGTTAAAGCCTATATGAACAAGTGTTGCCCCTTAACTGTTGTTCATTTGATTTTTCTTTCACTTTTTCTGTTTTCCTTTCATCGTGTGAAAGTTGTGTCCTAATTGGGCTTAGGCTTAGGCTTTACAGCATTGTTTATTTTCCTTCATAAGTTAATGTCCCGTTGGCCGCAGTAGCTGACCCAAATTGTTTCTGTTTTTTATCGTCGCTTTTAATTCAATTTTCGACTTTGTGAGAGCTCAAGTGAGAGCCCAAAAATCTCCGAGTTAGTCGGCTATTGTGTCTTAGATAAAGTGTCTTAGTTCTTAGGCGGCTATTGTGTCTTAGTTCAAGTGAGATCAGATATCTCGAAACAAGAAATAACGTGTTTTGAGTGAAGAGTACGAAGCACGCAAAGAATATTTTCTTCCTAAGTGAAGTATAGACTTCCTAAGTGAAGTTGATGCTGTACTGCTGATAATTTTTTGTGCACCAAACCTTTTAGCGGTTAGCTCAAACAACAAAAGTACAGCATTCTTTATTTTCCTTCATAAGTTAATGTCCTGTTGGCCGCAGTAGCTGACCCAATCCGAGCCGAATCAGCATGAGGTTTTCGAATCGTAATCGCAGTGTTGCTCAACCGCTTCACAGCCGTTTGCGGCCGTTCCTTTGACTTTCGAAGGAATAGAGCTGATATTATGCTAAAATTGAGCTTATTGCGGAAAAAAAAGAACGCATTCGATACCTAGCAATTAAATGAAAAAAGAGAAACTGATTGAAATCGACGATAGCATCAAAGACAAATAGAGCATTAAGTCCAAAATAGAGAGCGAGCATAATCCCAACAATGTAAGCGAGAATATAGTTGAACCAGATTAGCATTGAGTTGGCCATCATCTAAGTTGGCTGAGTTGGCCATGCTTTATTTCTTGATCTTTCTACAAGTTTTCGAGAAGACTACAAGAAGAAGGAAACCTCAAAAAGCAAAGATATTGTAGAATATCTGCATAGATATTGTAGAATATCTCATCTGCAAATAGCACTAGTTGAATTCTCGATATCTTCAATATAACTTCGATAATCGGCTACGATATATGTCGTAGCCGATATACGAATTTTTTTGAAAAAACCTTTCTAATAGAACAGCTCTAGAAGGACAATGTACTATATATAAAGATGCAGAGACGTCTGTCCGTCTGTCTGTGCGAAGCAGGCAAAGAGACGTCTGTCTGTGCGAAGCAGGCAAAGAGACGTCTGTCCGTCCGTCTGTGCGAAGCAGATGAAGAGACGTCTGTGCGAAGCAGACGAAGAGATGTCTGTCCGTTCGTCTGTGCGAAGCAGGCAAAGAGACGTCTGTCCGTCTGTCTGTGCGAAGCAGGCAAAGAGACGTCTGTCCGTCCGTCTGTGCGAAGCAGACGAAGAGATGTCTGTCCGTTCGTCTGTGCGAAACAGGCAAAGAGATGTCTGTCCGTTCGTCTGTGCGAAACAGGCAAAGAGACGTCTGTCCGTCTGTCTGTGCGAAACAGGCAAAGAGACGTCTGTCCGTCTGTCTGTGCGAAGCAGGCAAAGAGACGTCTGTCCGTCCGTCTGTGCGCAGCCATTGGCAAAAAGGGGCGGGGCTTAGATTGCGTGAAAAACGCAGACGTTAGTGAGCATTTTCCGCTGGTATTATATCATTTTGTAGATAATTCAATTCTGCGTCGAATGGTACCAAATTTGTGAGTTTAGGTTGAAAATTGCGATCGCTGCAACGTTTCAATTCAAAATCGAGCGGGACTACCATAGCCGATTATGAATTAATGGACCTAGGCGTGTCCAACCATTACAAGGTATTCGAAAATAATTTCAATTGCTAGACATACTTGATTACATATACCGTATTCTCTCTACTAGTAGTGGACCCTGAGCGTCGTCTAAATTCCTCGAAATCTCTAGTACTGTTTATCAGAATCTATCGATGTGGGGTCGGAAAATGTAGCTGACGATGAAATCTAGTGGGGGATTTGAGTGTTGAGCTTCTGCAAAAGCTTGGAAACCGTAAAATAGTCATCAACTCAGCTCGGCGGGGTGCACTACTATTAGGGAAAGCCAGTACATGAAAAACACACTTTTAAATGGTGCACCGAACCCCTCCAGGCGCACCGAATGAATTCTAGAGTGATGCATAAGGAGAAAGCTTGGCCTAAGCTTGGCCTAAGCTTGGACTAAGCCTTTTCCTAAGCCTTTCTTTCTCATTTCCTAATGATAAAATAAGATAAAAAGATCTTCATTTGTAAAGTGGTTTATCGTTGGTTAGTTTAATACCAAAACTATTAGAACTCTCTTCAAAAATTTTCCTTTTTTCACCGTTTCATTAGAGATTTTGTATAAAGGTTATCGAAAAACTGAGAATCGAGACTTTGACAGTCCTTACTAGACAACAACTAGACAACAACTAGACAACTAGACAACAACTAGACAACTAGATAATATGAAATGTGCAAAGAAGTCTATGAGATCGAGAGAGATATTAGAGAGACATTAAATACCTGTATCATCAACAAATTCTCGGCTCTCGAAGTATTCCTGCCATTCTTTTTCAACTAAAACTTTCTTTGATATGTTTATCATTGATTGTTGGTTGTTGATTGTTGATTGTTGATTGTTGATTGTTGATTGTTGATTGTTGGTTGTTGGTTGTTGATTGTTGATTGTTGATTGTTGATTGTTGATTGTTGGTTGTTGGTTGTTGATTGTTGATTGTTGATTGTTGATTGTTGATTGTTGATTGTTGGTTGTTGGTTGTTGATTGTTGATTGTTGATTGTTGATTGTTGATTGTTGGTTGTTGGTTGTTGATTGTTGATTGTTGATTGTTGATTGTTGATTGTTGATTGTT